AGTCTTGCCCGGGTCGGACAGCCGGGTGGTCAGCACCGGCGAGACTGGCCTGCTTCTGGTTCTTGCCCGTGTTGCCCACAGGCTCTGAGGAGACGCCCACTCCTCAAGGCTCCTCCATTTCACACCTCCACAACCAGTGAGATACCCAAGGGGGAAGTGGGAGAGGTCAGGGGTCACTCACGCATCACAGTCAGGGTGAGGGGGTCACTTCTGGAACTGGCTGGGTTGGAGACCTCACACTGATACTTTCCGGCGTCCTCCCCCCCGACAGGGTGGATGGTGAGGGTGCGGTTGTCCCGGGACAGCGTCACCCTGTCTGTGTACTGCAGACGCTGGGTATTGAAGAGCCACAGGATGGAGACCCCAGTGACTCTTGTGAGGCAGGTCAGGACCACACGGTCCTTGTGTTCGGTGACTGTGGTGCTGCTGGCTCGGATGGAGGCCAGGCCAAGGGGTTTGAGGAGACACCGCGGAGGTAGCTGAGTGAGAGCGGCCCGGGGACCACACTCCCTGCTCGGGTCTCAGCGCCCCACAGGCCACTGGGAGACTGTAAATGTCCCGGAGAGGATGGACCTGGCCTCTGTGGGGGGTGAGTGTCTGTGTCAGGAGCTGATCTGCCAGGAGAGGGCCGTACCAGCGTCTGGGGCCCCACGTGACCCCAGGCTGACCTCTGATCCGTCCCCTGGCATCAGGGGCCCCTTCTCAGCCGAGGGGTCCAGGGACCTGGGGTGCAATTGCTCCCCCGGACTCTGTGAGTCTTCCCACAACTTTAGTGACCTTAAGAGTTGGGTCCTCGCCGCATGCCAACGTCTGTGTGGGAAGCAGCTCGCCAGGCCGCAGCCTCACACAGAGCAGGGAGGGGCCTGATCCCTGAGCGCCACTGAGGAGAGCCTGAGGACATCCCCCCAAGTCTTCAGGGCCTCAGGACAAGTGTTTGCAATCCAAGGGCTTCGCTCTGGGCACAGGACTTTGCTTCACAATTCTCCAAGGAAGATCGAGAGGACTACAGATTTAACAATAGGCTCCAGTCAGAACAGAAGGAAGCCCTGCGATGAACACAGGCCCCTGGAAAGGCCCCCAGCACCAGTCCTGGGGAATCCCTGACCTAGCACCTGGGATCCGGAAGTGGGAGGCCAAAGGCTCCCCTCCCCCATCACCACAGGACCCGTCCAAGCCTGAACAATTGGGCCAGGAAAAGAAACTAAGGCCGCATTGTGGAAAGGAGAAGTACAGCTGGGTTTGTCTGAGGATCCTGTGACCTGAAGTGCAGAAATCCCTGCCCAGCCCACAGGGCCAGTGAGCGCTAATGAAGGGCTGGAGGAAGGCTGGAGGAAGCTCACACACGCGGCTGTGAAGCGCGC